TAGTAATACGTCTTATACCCTTAGTCTTTAATGGACTTAAGGTTTACACACAGAATCGGCTTATCAGTCATCAACAAATTTATATATGTGTAAAACTTAGGCATTGTGGTAGTGTGGTGTTGTTAAAATTCATAAGTCAGAATGCCCTATTAGACCTATAGTTGATTTTAGACATTCACCTACTTATGAATTAATCTAAATATTTAGCCATGGTATTAAATCCCCTTAAAAGACACTCAAAATCTAGATTAACTAATTATTATGAATTTAAACACAGATTAAATAATTTAAAATTAGATAATGAAGAAAAAATGGCCAGTTTTGATATTGTCATTTTATATAAATGTATACCAATAAATATGTCTATAGAGGCAGTCAGAAACGAACTCATTTGTGACCAAGAACTCGAAATTAGCACAAAAGTGTCACCTGAGGACATAATACTGGGAGTGCAGCTTTGTCTGACTTCCATAGTATCTAAATTCCAGGGAGCTGACATGGAATCACCAATATTCCCGGTTGTAGCAGATATATTCATGGATAAGTGGAAAAACATAGCAATTGAGACGTTCACCCCCACTCCAAAAGTATTGTGGAGGTATGTAGATGACACATTCACTGTACTTAGAACACATGATATAGACAAATTTTTCGAACACATTAACTCAAGTTTGAGGCCATTCCAATTCACTTATGAATTGGAAAGTCAGGAAGGAGGGCTTCCAATGTTAGATTGTAACGTAAAAAGGAAAGAAGATGGGAAGGTAAACACTAGTGCTTACAGGAAACCCACAGATTCAAACAGATGTTTGGACTTCTGATCATCCCATCCTATATCAGTGAAAATAGGATTGGTGAAATGCTTATGTGAAAATAGTGCAGAAAGACTAAGTAGTACCAAAGGAAATCTAAGACAAGAAGTGATACACATAAGAGAAACCTTGAAACTTAATAACTACATGGATGAATTAGCCAGAAGGTATGAAAGGAAATGCAAAAACAAAATAAATAATGATAGTAGCGATAATGACAATAATAATAGTGATGGTAATAATAATATTAATAACAATATTAACGACGACATGCATGTCAAATATGCGCAAGATAATGACAACACCAACAATAAGGAACCTAAATCATCAGTAGTAATTATATACAACGAAGGAACCTCCGAAACCACCTTACACAGAATTCTTAACAAGGCAGGCAAGAATAAAAGTGGCTAGCATTCAAACCACCCACAAATTCAATTAGAAACAAGCTTAGTCAGTTAGAGGATCCCTCCTATGGAGCAGCCTGTAGAACAAAACAATTCAGTTTATCTAATACCCTGTCTGCAGTCATTATCGGGTCAAATACATAGGTAAAAGCAGTAGAACAGGGGTAGTCAGTCAGACTAGCCAAGCATAAAAACCTAGCACCAAAATCTAGATTGGTTAACCCAAATAGGATAAGAAATCTAGAGAATAGTTCAGCCGTAGATAGCACCGCATGCAATTACGCATAACCATACAGTTTTAAATTCAATGTCACAGGGTGAAGGGAGAGATTGATAACAAGGGAAGCTTTGTTTATCGAATCAAATGCAAATACGTGTAATAGGAATGATTCAACGCCTGTACACTCAGATATCTGGAGAATTCTACTACCCCAACGACGACAAATAGGAGAGAACAAAGAAGACTATAAAACTCAAGTTTCGAAGTCGTGTGATTATAATTGATGATATGATTATGAACAATGATGTATTGTGTTGAGGACCTTGTTATCCAGTAAATAATAATACTGTTTCACTGTGTGATACATCTAATAAACAAACTAATATGGTATCAACAAATTTAACTTATGAAACATTAGGCGAAAAAAAGGAATACATATATATATGTATAAATTGAACGGTGAATAGATTTAATGTCATCCTGTCTGTCGCAAACAAATACCTGTAGACTTATAATGAATCTGTCAGTGTATTTTAAGGCCCACACGAAACTCCAGCAATATAATATCCTCGTGTAAGTATTTTGTTGACGTTTTGTCGGTCGACTAGTTTTTTTTTTGGTTGTTATCCATTCCCATGAATACTTGACATAACAGGTGTTCTGTAGTTCCACATTTTTCCTCTTCTCCTTTTTTTCCGCGAATATATCACATAAGCAAAGAAGTTTCTACTCCACAGAATATCAGTTCATTTTTTTTCCTCTTTCTGAGCAAGATTAAACCTCCAGCAGTCGCAACAACTGTCTTCGCTCAATACTGAGTGAAGATCAGATGGCCGGGCCGGAAAGAATCACCAACAACGAATTATGGAAACAAACAAAGCAAGAACCAATCGCCCAACAAATATGCAGGAGAAAATGGAGATGGATCGGACACTCGTTGAGGAGACCGCTGGGTGACATCGCGCGCCAAGCCCTCGAGTGGAACCCGAAAGGGAAGCGGCGTGTGGGACGTCAGTGCAAGGGTGACATGGAGGAGATCGTGTGAAGAGGAGTTGAAAGAATATGGATTAACATGGATGCAGGCGAAAAGTATAGCAGAAGACAGAAGAAAATGGAGACGTGCAGTTGAAGCCCTATGTTCCACTAGGAACCCAAGGGAGCAATAATAATAAGTCGCAAGGAGGAAACAATTTCTCTGTTTCTGTCTTTCTTAACAGATTCCTAAAACTTTTAAAGTTATTCAGTCGTTTGAAACATGTAGGCTAGAAAAAAACAAAGAACAGTACATTTTGGAGGGAGAGTCTGTTTTTCCTACTTTAGTTTAGTTTAAGGTTGAACAACAAAAAAGTCTCGGTTGAATAAAAAGGAAGTTATGTACAATAACTACAAGTAAAAATTTGAAGTAGAAAAATTAAAAAAAAGGTGATTTCAGATGAAAGTATGCATGTCTATACATGCACATATATTGTTTGATGACAACAGTTCGAGTATCCGGAATTGTTTAGATTTGCATGAAGTTATCTATATGCCCAGGATAGGGAGAATTTATAAATCAACCACGAGAGTTTTTTTTTATTATTACAAAAACACGGCTTGCGTGTACAGTTATTTCGAGTATACACGATTTTATGTCAGGAAATGTATGTTTCAGTGATTAGGCACATGAGTGATTGGATTAAGAAGTTGTGATATTTGTTTAGGTTTTTTTTGAGAACAATGTCTTTCACAATGGCACCATTACATTCAAGGAATAGACATATTTTTATATTACTGCCTACTTTAGTTAAAAAAACAAGAAACAAACAGAGTTAAACAGTTGCATAATTCGGATATGTGCTTTTTTGCATTTACCACTTGTCGCAAACCAACTAATTTTCTGAATACTTCAAAGATGTAACTTCCCAAAAGTGGTTATTATAAACAGGCCACTTTAGGCACTGGTGCATATAAAGCCACTAATAAATAATAATTATTATAATTATTATTACTTCCTTTACTTCCTGGAGGAACATAGGGCATCAGCTGCACGTCTCCACTGCGCTTGGTCCTCTGCTAACGTTTTCACCTGGCTCCAAATGTGCCCACATGCTTTCATGTCCTCTTCACATGACCTCCTCCAAGTCACCCTCGCACTGACGACCAACTCGCCGCTTTCCTTTGGGGTTCAACTCGAGGGCTTGTCTAGTGATGTCACTCACTTGACGGCGTGTTTCCTCAGCGTATGACCAGCCAATCCATCTCCATTTCTTCCTGCTTATTTGTTGCACAATCAGTTCCTGGTTGGTTCGCTCTCAGAGATCCCTGTTGCTGATCTTTTCTGGCCGGCCATCTGATCTTGAGTTTTGAGCGAAGACAGCTGTTGGTGAAGGTTTGTAGTTTGTTTGAGGTGCTCTTTATGAGGCGCCAAGTCTCTGATCCGTATGGTGAGTAGCACTAATTGACTTCACATTGGAGTTGAAAATCCGGATGTTATTTTTGATGCTGAGTGCTGTCGACCTCCAAGTATAGAAGTTAATAGTCAGTCGAAAGATATAATCCCGAGAGGGATGATACAAGAGAATAACAAAATAGTTACTGTATTTCATCATGAGCTGACATCGGTTAGAGAACTGCTGGAAAACGTACTGGAGTACTGGAAAGCTGTTTCGTCCCAGTCTGAGCTTAGGACCTTCTGGTTACAAGGCGAGGGTTCTAGTGAGAAGTCGTGGCCAGTAGAGAGCAGCAAGTCGGGCGTGAGGACAAACACTCGCCAAAAACATTGGTTAGTGGTCGCACAGTGTCGTGAATTGGCAGAAGCTGGAACTCATTGTCTGGCCATTGGATCGGGTCCCAATGGCTGATGAATGGTTAACGAGCTCGCATTGTAACCAAGGGGGGTCATGGTTTCGAACCCCATTGGTAGGTGGGTGCCTACTGTGAAGAGTCTCAAGCAGTAGGACGAAACAGCTATCCAATACTCCCTGCAGGTTTTCCAATGATATTTTAACCGATGTCAGCTCATAATGAAATCCTCAAATCAATCAAATCCCTACAAACCAATCCTTGAAAACAGTTCCTAATACGTGTTGAAGGTTAACTGAAAATGTCAAAACGATGAAGGCTAAAACATTCATATAAGATAGTGAATTAACTTTAACTTCTTGAATAATCAGCTCGACAATACTTTGTCCATCGTTCAGTAATCGACAACTAAGTAGTAGTACAAATGATGATTTTCGCATTAAGGTAATAATGAAACTGTCACCATACCCAGCGGGTATATCCAGCTGACGAGCCCTAAGTGCAACAAAATAAATATGCTGAATTATACATCCTTTAAGAAAATACCCAAACAATCAAACAAAAGACCTACGGGCCTCATTTAGCTGCATTTATAGAGATTCAGAAAGGAAGGACTTCAATTCCCAGCTAATCCTTGTCTTTACATTTGTGAGATATGTTATTAAATATATGTTAGAACAAATTTATGGAAAATCATAAATGAAAAAACACATTTGTCAGATTTAGTATTGTTGTGAAGATAAGTAGTCAGTCTAGAGACAATCTGTATGACTTACTTACTTTTCATCCACTTTACAAACTTCATACGCTCCAGGAAGAAGCCATAATCCATTATTAGTATTTGTTAAAATTGGTGATGGCTTCATTCTTCCTGTATTTTTGAAGCTGTAGGTAAGTGGACGTTCAACGTGTATTCGCTTGATATTATAATGTGTAGGACTTGGACTTTTCTAATGTGAGAAACAGGAAAGAAATAACCCCCAGGAAGATAAACTTAGTTAAATGAAAATCAACTGTCAAAAATGTATAATGCTAATATTGTGGAAGATAATATATGTCGTAGCTCAGCTGGTAGAATGTTGGACTATCAGTTGAGAGGTTACTGGTTTGAATCATTCTACAGCCCAAATTTCCACTTCACCTTCAGTTATAAGCCATTACATGAATGACCGTCCGCCGACCCGAAGGCTCCCTCAGATAGTCTCATTGCTTATATGTTAAGTTGATAATGAGGCATACGTCAATTCACTTAATATAATTATCCTCCTATATGTTAATTAGTCTGTCGCACTTTATTTCCCACCTTCTTTTCTACACAGTTCATCCAGATATGCTGAACACAAAAGCGCGAAAGCAAGAAGTTTCTAAACATCAACTATAGATTTCGGATTCCGATTTCTGATGATATTCAATTGAAGAGAAATTGAATTATTTATCTACTTCTAAAACTGAGTTCCGTTAACAACTCTTGACCATATATATATATCTCAGACGTCTATAACTTATACTTAATGTTTCCTTGGGTTCCGAGTGTAAATTAGGGCTCCACTTTATTCTATTCTGTGCAGTTCTCTTTAGCCGGACCCACAATTTCTCATACTCTCCGATCTCCGCCTCTCACAATCTCCTCCATGTCACCCTCATCGTTTTGCTTTCTGGTTCTACTAGAGTAATCGTCTGGAGTGTGATATCATTCGACGGTCTCCCAAACGTCGCTTAGTTTACTTGCTCGCTGATTCACCACTTGATCCAAAGTTCGGTCAAGCAGTTAAGGTTGTTTGTGGGACTAGCTACCCTACTCTGGAGAATCAATCAGTCGGAAACTTCAGTGTACAAGAAAAATTTTTATGGTTTACCGAAGTTCATTACTACCATTCATTGAGTAGAAGATAACAGGACAGTAAAAGTATGACTATTCCTAAACTATACATAGTTTATTCATATTTATGTTAATGTGTTATGAATATACTAAATGAAATGTTCAACCTAACTTTCTGCAATCTGTAACTCCCAATCTTAACACATTCCTGAAGTAGAATAAGTTAATTTCTGATTGCCTTGGATATCGCTTTGACAGATATGGATTTGTTAGGCATGCGTCCAAACTATGGTCACGTAATTGCTTTAGTCCAGACCACAGATACCGTCATATCTGTCCACTTGAACAAAAGTAAAAGAGCGACGTTTCTTTCGATCATCAGCTAAAATGGTCTCACCTCTCACCTCTGAGGATAACATAAGAAGACTGATTTCTTAACACTCATATTCTCCATGATTAACCTACCTCAACAGTAGACTGTTTCTTTCCCTATCAAATGAAACACTTGAGCTCGATGGGGGAATCAAACCATAAATATTTTCTCAATAATTCCACTTCATACCAAAACGCATCTCTGTTGATCACAAAAGCAATAAATCATGAAATTAGAGAAACGTTCGGATAACATTCTCGCTCTCAGGCTTTATGTTTTCACCAGTCTTTTCACCTCGTCGGGAAGAATCAAGTCTATGACTGCTGAATAATTGTCAGCAAAGCTATGAAAGCTGGTATCTAGAAACAAAACGTTAGTGAATAACAGGTGATATGTGCCTGGTGATTTTCAGAGGTTTCGTTTTTCTTTATGTTAGTTCGTAATGTTGTCTAGACCGAAACTAACTAGAAGCTCACAAAAGTAACAACTTATTTTGATTTACTTGAGCACATTTTCGGCCTTACTACTTGTAAATAAATGAGCACTGTCACACATTGTATCCAACAATTTCGGATCATCTCGGATTGTTGGACTGATATGTTATTTTTACTTCAAGTTCCCCAGTGGAACATATGGCTCCAAGCTATTGGCTTGAAGTTTCTGTAGCAGTGTTTATTTTACAGGATGGGGTTGTTAATCTCATGCCCAGCCTTTCCTGTCTACCAGAATTATTTCTGGCCTAGCGAGGTAAAAGAGTGCATCCGTGGCCGGGGATCATGGTCGGCGAGCGTCCTAACCGCTATGCCACTGACGCACGGACTGACATATATATATATATGTTTATAAATATATAGCAGAGTGATGATTGACACTGACGCGCCTTGCGGTGATGTCCCGATAGCCACGTTTTATGTTAACTTCAACCAAACTTGAGGGATGATAAGTTATTGTCTCAATACCTGATTTTTTTACTCCTTTTTATTCTGCACAATATTTTTACATTACAAGGATGATATTTTCAAATCTTTGACGATGCAAATATCAAAGTAAACACTGGGCACATACAGAAATGCACTAGATTAAAATAGGCCATTAGGTGTCCCATTCGTCTGAAAAAATCAAATTTTTGTCATGATATGTTTATATCGTCTTGGATTTTTCCGGATACTACCTCCATAATGACAGCCTTCAAGAGAAACTAGGCTTTTAACACAGAATTTTATATCGGTAGCATGAGAGGAACGAGAATTGAAAATGTATAATTATTGATATTTGTTTTACACCTAATGGGTTCCATCCGTCTGGAGCTTATTGAAGCAGTCTATGGGTCTTGAAGTTAATTAGGGTAAATTCTGAACCCAGAACAACATTCTCAATAACTAGAATACAGATTAATCCAGAAAATAGGCTCAGAATGTTTATCTTACGACTGGCTATTTTAAGCGTTTAAAATCCAAATATTTCGTTGCTTACATTCCAATTAAATTTGTAATTATACATTTAGACATAGTGAATGCATTTTTTCATAAGCTGAAAAGATTACATCTTAAGACTGATAACTAATCAAAACCACTCTTCTTCCCAAAGTCTTATTTTATTCTACTTAACTCTATACACTCAGCGTTGGTGGGATTCTCGCTAACCACGCATGTGATTCGGGGTCGAATCCCCGGCCAACGCATACTCCTTTAACTTGCTAAGCCAGTAATAAGACTGGTAAAGAGGGAAGGTTGGGCAAAAGGCCAGCAACTTTACCCCATGTAAATATATATACCACCGCTACTGAAACTTCAAAGCTGGAGCCTGAAGCCCTACGTGTCATTGAAAACGTAAATGAATCAAATTAAAAACAATAACTCTATACACTCACATGCACAAAAATAACACCTACTATCTTCACTTTTAGATGGTTCATTTTTCGTAAGTGGAAATAACAAAGTATTTTACTATTGGTTAGTGGAGTGAATAATATGATGTGACTTTAAAGACACTAGTAAAGCGAAGTTTATTTACCGTCTAAACGGTTCACGTAAGTGGCCAGTGCAGTAAACAGCCTTGTTGTCAGTACCTTTAAAACGATTCTACATAATACTACCAGAGCTGCAAAAATCTGGTTCTAAGCAAAGTTCACTTCATGCATTAACACAGACCTAAAGGAAATTTTTAAAAAATTATTTTTATTCCTTTAGGTTCTCTATGGAAAGTAGGTTTTCAGACTAAAGCTTTGTAGTTACGGTAGCAGTGGTATTTATTTTTACGGGATGGGGTTACTATCCTCTTACCCAACCTTCCCTCTTTAGCAGTCCTATTACTGGCTTAGCTAAGGTGAAGGAGTGCGTCTGCGGCTGGGGATCGAACCCCGGTTGGCGAACATTCTACCACTCTGCCGCCGACGCACACCTAAAAGAAATACCAGATCAGAATCCAAGTTTTCAACTACTGATTATCATCCAGCTCGTTTCTGCAGTAAGCTTTATATCTAACAATGTCATACAGTTACCCTATTGGAAATTATAACATGTTCCATGTTTATTTGAATGCGTTTTTCCACGAAAAACATATAACAGTTTACAGTTTAAACAAATAACTTTTGAAAGAATCCCATAGTTTGTTTTTAATGAGTAAATGAAATGCAACTAATTTAGTTTGGTATTCCACTAGGAAATAAATATCATAGACAATGGTTTTTAAGGCCATTCTACTAATTTCAATAACAATAAATGTCGGGATACCTTTGGTGGTAACATTATTATTATTGTATCCTTTAGTTCCTAGAGGAACATAGGGCTTCAGCTGCGCACCTCCATTGCCTTCTGTTTTCTGACAACCTTTTCACCCCTCTCCAGGTCTGTCCACATGCTTTCATCTCCTCTTCGCATGACCTCCTCCAAGTCACCCTTGCACTGACGACCAACTCGCCGCCTCCCTTTCGGGTTCCACTCGAGGGCTTGTCTAGTGATGTCACTTGATGGTTTCCTCAGGGTATGGCCAATCCATCTCCATTTCTTCCTGCCTATTTGTTTCGCAATCGGTTCCTGCTGTGTTGGTTCGCTCCCAGAGATCTTTGTTGCTGATGATTTCTGGCCGGCCATCTGATCTTGAGTATTGAGCGAAGACAACTGTTAATGAAGGTCTGAAGTTTGTTTGAGATGCTCTTTATGACGCGCAGTGCAAGTCTCTGATCCGTATAGTAGCACTGACTTTACACTGGAGTTGAAAATCCGGATCTTATTTTTTATGCTGAGTGCTGTTGACCTCCACACAGATTTGAGAGTAATGAAATCTTGTCTTGCTTTTCCGATGGTGGTAACATTGCTGCATCAGAAACATAACCAGTCTTTTGCTACCAATCCAGTTGCGTGAACAAAATACACCCCTACAATGGGTGGCTGGTGAAACTGCTCAAATGAAGTAACCTGAAAAAACGAAATATATACACAAAGAGGTGTATATGCTAAAAGGTGGATATACAGGGGACAACTCACAGGCATCTGTGATTTAAACCAGTTCGAACGATCGACTACAGCATATTTATCCCATTCACTCTTCGGTTTTGATTTCTGTAACTGGGATTAGAAAAAGGGGAATAAAATGGCGACTATACTCAATTCAGAAAAAGGGATTAAAAAATAAACATTTAAAAAAATTGTTGATACGAATATCATATTTAAGAGTGTTGTTTTTATATTCATATGTAATAGAATTTTCAACCTTATTGATAATAATTTATAATAGCAACAATTAAAAAGAAATCCCTCCTTGCCTAGGTGAGGGATTTTCAATTAGATGTACCCAAAGGTCACGAAATCAAAACTCTATAGTACCCTGTCACCCGCTGTTAACCATTTCATAACAGTCAAAAAAAACTACGTTTTAAAGTGAATTCTGTCTAGACTTAGAACTATAGACAATAACATGGGTTAATCTTCGATAAAAGTTAAAAGCTTTCCCCAGTATGCCAGTAAAACTTGCGTGAACGACATTTCAAGTAAATTTAGTGAACCACTTGTGAAATCGGAAGTATAGGTGTGTATATATTATAATTAGAAAACAAACTAGGGTTACCAGACAGTAAGTAGTATTTATAACCTAGCCTGGTTTACCGATCACACCAAAGAACTCTTGAATCGACCATCACCTGCATCTCACACAGAAATACCACCTGCAGCTGGTATAGAACTACCTGTTAGTGGACACCAGTCCTCCAATGAAAGCAGAAATCCCGAATGTGGTCGAGCTGCTGAAGTCTGGGAAGGCAGCAGGACTTGACAGAATCCCCCCCCCCGAGGTACTGAAAACGGACCCAGAGACTTTGGCAGATATGCTGATGCCAATAATGCAAAATTTTTGGAAAGAAGGTAAGGTGCCTACTGATTGGATTGGAAGAAGTCTACCCTGTCAAACTGCTAAAGTAGGATGACTTAGACCCACTTATTCCATTACTGAAATACAACAGGAGGACACTGTATTCGTGACATTTTAAAATGACATAATGAAGACAAGTATTGACAATTTAATCAAAACCTTAAAAAATGTTTTGATTGATGAGTATAACTGTAGCCTAGCTGAAATATTGAGTATCCAGGACAGAATATGAGCTGATCACTGAAAAATTACTTGATTATTCAAAATTAAAACTTTTTGAAGTCTATTTGTGTACATCAGAATAATGACTGAATGGATAGATTAGCTGTCACTTTCATTTTTGTCAGCAGGTGAAGCTGAGGATGCACGTTGCTACCTGGAAATTATGCAGAATATTTGTAGCTAACTAAGGTGAATGATATGACGGATTCAATATTAAATACTTTGCTGAAAATTTTGTCCTAAAAGATAAAACTAACTGCGTAATAAAGCCATCCATCTCATAAAACACGTTGTCACGTACCTACAAAAAGTAAGGGTGGTAGTTTCGAAATCAATCATGGCATACACCATTAAAGAGACGCTATTTAGCCAAGAAAAAATATCTCTTTCTCTGCAAAGTAATAGAATTTGCTAGTGTGGAATAATTTGTTCAAGTATTTAATGCGCCAACAGAAATTATTCATTTTTGCCAAGTAAGACAAACAAAAGAAAGCGAAAACTAGCCAGTTAAAGCTGTGTGCGATCAGGTTAAATGTGGAATAGTAAGCACGACCTAAAAAGTGACGGTGTATTTATAATTAAAATACTCTAAGTGAGTATGTAATACAATATGAATCAAACAAATTTATATGTCTTCTTATCAAAACTACCACAAATTTACTAATTCTTGTCAGTTAACAGTTTGACTAAGCTAGAAACCGCTTTTTCTCATTCCGCATCATTTATGTCTGCATATTAACCAAATGACAGGTCGAATTTACGTGTTCAAGTAATTGGCTGTAATGCTTGAATTAATTTCCGTCCAAATGGCCTAGCGGATAACGCTTTGGCGTTTGAAACTATGGGCACTGGGTTCGAGGCCTAGTGAGAATACTACAAGTCACTGGGGGATGGGGTACATCCAGTAGACGAGCATCCTGGTTTCTTATACTATTCACCATCCAGCAACTAACTTTCTGAATTTTAGTTTTTCTACTCATGAGTAGTTTGCTAATTCTGCTAAAATGTTTTCTTTCATGAATAACATTGAATTAATAAAGCTCCCAGCTGATTAGAATACCGAATTTAAATACTTCTGGGCTGACTGAAATCAAAACCCCCTTCACAGTCACCTAACTAGGTCTCATATGTTAACATTCTACAGAGCACCATAATTATTTCCTTCATATTATTGAAACTCGGTTGTATTTTAAAGGTTTAGTCTGAGTCTCGGAGCCTTGCTGTTTACCGGTTCGAATCTTGCCACAACCCAAGTTATTCTACTGCAGGCACTGTGATCTAGAAGTGTCATAGAAAGAAGATTAAATACTTAAATTTGGAATTTTCTTCACCTATTATACAATTTTGCCAAACTAATCAGCAGTCCAATACAGTCTGATTAACTACAAATAATTACTGTTATTCCTCTCTGACACTCTTCTAACAAAAGAAACTCGTGTACTGAAATCACTTTTAGTGTATTAATACTGTGTAAAAGTAAGTATAAGGCATGGCAGACCAATTAAAGGCTTCTCGATGATTTGTAACTAAAGGGCGGAACTCAAAGTACCTCATGAAGCTGTCATGTTAACTTTGTTTGACTTCAATACGGATATCTGATCCCTAATTCTTAATATCTAGTTAACGTTATACAGAGAATGAATTGTTTGGTTGGGCAACCACCTAGTGGAAATGATTTTCCCTTTAGTCTTTGCTAGCACTGACTGTCCACTGAAGACTGTGGACATCATGGACAAATGAAAGTATTCCCTCCATTTGGCTTTTGATATCAACATCAAATCTTTAAAAAATAAAAGCCAGCACATCTCTTCGGATTAATCACCTAAGTCCGTTAAAATGAGAAACGAAAGCTCTCCTTTATTTACGATCCATGTGAAATTGACTTTAAAAGCTGTACTATGCGACGACTTTGAAAATACAAATGAAAATGCTTCTCACTCTTGTGAGGGAAGGCATACGTGGGTACCATCTATCAACTGACAGTTTAATAGCTTTTGAATCAATATCAATAGTGACGTTAACAAACATGTGTTCACAGGCAGGCATCATCAAATATCTGAAACATACTTTTTCAGTTTTCACCGTATATAGATAGAAAAACAGTCGAAGTAAGCATCAACTCTAAAACTATATCATCTATCTTTTATTACTAAATTATTATTTATGTACACCAGCGGCAGGAATTATACTAGGAGGATAGAAAGAAGGCAGGATTTCTGTCCGGTTTTTGAAGAGCCTATTTCAAGAAACTTATGCTTAAAAGGAAGCAGATATTTACAAAGTGAAATTACCAGACACCTTGTGGTAATGGGTCATTATGTCGAGATTTCCAAATCCTTTAAAATATTAAACCTAAAGAAGACAGCGAATCTACTACGATTTGCCGAAGCAATTGCAATCAAACGTCTCAGACGAGACTTATACACACAGACAAAGAGTGTGTAGTCAATCTCTCACTGCCTTGGTAACCGTATTACTTTCATTACATTGATTAGTCATACACACTAGTCAGCTCAGTTCAATAAGCAAGTTTTCAATTTGATGAACTTTATTAACTTTCTTGAGTTGCCATGGTGACGTAGAAGCTAACATTGTTTATTAGATTTTTCTGTTCTCTGTCTTCTGTCACTAGCTCTCCCAATTTTCTTTCATAGTTTAATAGTTTATAAATTGAAAATAACTTTAACTAAAAATTGTAATACTTATATTCCGGACGCATTGATTTTGCAACGTTTTCACTATTACCCTTCTAATGTTAAGTATGAAATGTTATTATTGAAAACCATTGCAATTTCAGGTAGTTTGCAGATGATGAGAACCTGTGAAATAGAATGACGATAACATTTTATAATGCATATCTGGTCTTTCTTTCCCTATCGAAATTTATCAAGGGAACCAAATGCCTTATAAATTATTATCATTATTATACATAAATGTAGTTCACTAATTATATGATTATGTCACATACCAAGTGGTTCACAATGGTGGAAGCTTACTAAAGGCTTTGAAGTGAAAACAGGACAAAGACAAGGCTGCCTACTATTACCAATGATATTTCTGATTATCGTGGACTGGATCATGCTGCAGAGTGTGCAGCGTGAGAAGATGAAGACTAATATTTCATGTCGGAGATATACAAGTAAAGATCAACAGGTTAGTAGGAGAGATTGAGAGGACAGAACTCCAAGTGAACATAGAAGAGACTTACATGATGGAGATGCCTAACCTATAACAAGCGCCAGTCACTGTCAGCGGGAGAAATCTAAAACAGACGCCTCTTTCTCTTACTTAGGCAGGGTCATTTCTCGTAAAAATTTTAAAACCAGACATGATCAGACTGAAGAGACAAGACAGACGTTCATTACTCTGAAGTCAGTGTGGAGATTTACTGCAGCCAGAAGAAGGAATTTCATCCAAATTTTCAACACTGATGTAAACTCAGTGCTCTTATATGGTTCAGAGATTTGGCAAGTCACAAAGACGTTTCCAGCAAGCTATAGATTTTCATCAACAGTTGCCTTGCCTATATACTGAAAATCAGATGACCGGCCAGAAAGGGAAATCAAAACGGAGTTCCAGTAGGCAGCCAAGAACTGTTTACTTAGTATATAAGCAGGAAAAGTGTATATGGACTGGACACATGCTGAGGAGACCTTCAGATTGCATAGACTGCTAGGCGCTCCAGTAAAAGCCGAATGGGAAGCACCAGATTGAACATCTAAGTATGAATTGATGAAGACCTTGTGATGAGGAAATGAAACACCTTGTTTATAGCCGTGCAGTACAAAGCGCATACAATCCTAAAGCCTTATACTCCACTCAATACTCAAAGGACGAATAATAACTTATTACAAAATGAGATGTATTCAGGCTAAAATCAAATATTCACATTTGAAATGAATGAATAATATATTTTGAGAGTATTTTGAAGGTCATTACTTACAGAAAGTTTCTAGTTCGGTTTGTTATTGATAATAAT